TGCATGTTACGGAGGAGATAAATTTGGGAAATAATTCGTCTTGATTGTAGCATGTTTTTTGTCCTTATTGCATATATACCTCTATGAAATGTCTTCTTTCAGAAACTGTCTCATGTTGTTAGCGTAATACAATGTATCAGAGTTATATACGCGTATCGACATCGACTCTGGAGGCTGCATGCGGCCACAACAACGGTCAGTGCTGCCCGCTCGGCGCCCACCCCTGGCGTTACTTGCAGTGGCCAACGCCGTTCGGTTCCACGAAAATTGCGACCCAAGCCATCGCTATCATTGTCCCCGAGATTACGGGCGTGCCACTTGGGCTTGATGACGCATTCAGCTGCTGGAGATATATGGCGCCGCCAGCCTCTTACCCTGGAGGAAAGGGCGGGCATCACGGGTAAGCGAACCCTGTACCTGTGGTTGTTGTGGATCCATGCGTGGACCGTCATTAACGCAACAACACCCCTGCTCGTCGCAGGTGGTCAAAAATTGGCACATAGACTCCAATTAGGCTTAACGGGTCCATGCTCGAATAGGGTCGGCGGGCCCACTGTTCGGTACTGGGAGCCCTGACTGGTACTGGGCTCTTCTGTTACCTAAACATGGGCACTCATCATAATTTTCTTATGTTTCCTTTCATTGTCAGAGGGTCCGACCAACGTAGGAGACTCTCTGCCATTCGGAATCCCGTCCCCGTCCCTGTTAAGCAAATCTTCCTCTGACCGATTTGAGGCCCTTTGTTGACACAGAATGCCCTGCTAGGCACTGTGGGCCCCTGAACGATACAGGAGCCGGAAAGGTGTAAATCGTGGGCCCGACCTTAACTCGGCTTGAAAAGTGAGCCCCCAGAGCTCAGACCAACACGGAGCCGAGTGCTCGTTTTTCGTGATCTCTGGCCAAAATAGAGGAACGCTCTGTCTGAGGGGTCCCTATCGGTGCAAGAACTCATCTTACTGATATTTGATATCACGGTCCTAATGGCCCGTGATATGGGGTCTCAGTCCTTAATGTGACTCACAGGCAGCCTTTTGGACTCTTCAGCCATTCCATCGAGCTCCTGTCCTTTGGTCTTGAGAGACACTTGAGTCCCTCCTCGGCCCCCTCAAACACCGCTCCAACTATGGCAAACTGTGGACCCGCCTCGCTTCTGCTTGGGGGGTGGGGTTCAAGGATTCAGACGGACATGGAGCCGGACGAGACACGGACACGGACACTGTCTGGTGTTCGCGGTCTCGTGACCCACTTAGACACCAGCGTTGTCTCAGGGATTCCTCAAGCAGTGCAAGAGGACCTCTGACTGATATTTCAGGTCACGATCCTACGGGCCGCGACTCTTTAGGTGACCTACAGCCAGTCCTTCGGCCCGTTATGCCGCCTAACTGGGCCTTTGATCGTCGGTTTCGGTGGGCCGCCCTGGCCCCTCTTTGGGTCTCATCGAACACTTCTCTTGGTTGTGTCGGGGCCCTTGCGAGCACAGGGGCCTATTTTAAGCGCTGTGGGCCCCTGACAGATGCAAGGCCCCAGACCAGTGAAAATCGCTGAAACCGACTTTATAGCTGATTGGGAAGTGGGTCCTCAGGCCCATACCAACACAGAGCCATGGTACGGTGGTACCTGACCGACATATAGACCCATATCGGATTAGGTGGTTCCCGATCGGCGCAAAACGCCCTCTGACCTTTCTTTTGAGGGCCTGTCTTCGCAGGTCGGGGCCGTTAAATAAGACTCCAATCAGGCCTTTATTCCCTTGCACCCTTCAATCGGGCCCTTGATCGTCGGACACGGTGGGCCATCTAGGCTCTTCAGGCCTCTTTAAACACCACCTCTGGCCGACTTGGACCCCTTGACAACGCAGGGCCCCTGCCAGGCGCTGTGGGGTTCTGAACAATGCAAATCGCTGGCTCCGACTTAATCTCTGCCAGGGAAGCGGGCCCTTGGACCCATGCCGCCTCGGAGCTGTCCGTGCGTTACTGGTGGTGCCTAACCGACATATAGGCCCTCATCGACTCAGTGGGCTTGTGATCAGCGCGCAAGGCCCTCTAGTCAGTGTCCAACCCTGCGAGCCAGAGCCCCTGAATGAGGCCTCTAGCTGGCCTTTCGGGCACTTCGGGCGCTCAGACCGGGCCCTTAATCGTGGGTTTCGAGGGTCCTTCGGGCCTCTCGGATCCTACGGGGATACGTCCCCTGCCCTTCCCCTCTTCCTGCGCTACTGGTGCTACTCCTGCTTCCCCGTGCATTTTTTAGAGCCAGTTTCTGGTGCCTACCTGCCCTTTGTAGCCCAACACCGATGTCCTGCCGCTTTGTAGCCCAACACCGGTATCGTGCCACTTTGTAGCCCAACACCGGTGTCCTGCCGCTTTGTAGCCCAACACCGGTGTCCTGCCGCTTTGTAGCCCAACACCGGTGTCGTGCCACTTTGTAGCCCAACACCGGTGTCCTGCCGCTTTGTAGCCCAACACTGGTGTCCTGCCGCTTTGTAGCCCAGTACCGGATTCCTGCCGCCTGCAGGGTCGATGCGGGCGCTGGAGCATTTTGTGGCTATGGTGCAGATCGACTGTGAGGTGGTCAGCACCAAACTTCTGCACATCCGCGAGTCGGTCGTCCTCACTCCGCCGTCCAACAATCCGACCCCGACCGGGAGCGACAACGCACAAATCAACGACATCCGTGGCTCATGAACGCAACTTCAGTTCCTCGGCGCCACCGCCGGGCGGCTTCCCCGTCGTTACGGTGCTGACATAGAACGGCAACCCATCGGCCGGTAAGCGGGGCAAACGGGAGACGCACGTGCGAAGCGGGGCACCGCCAGCGAAGGCGAGAGTTCGACCGCGCTGCCGTTCAACCCGACTGTGGACGCGTGGCGCAAGCTGCGCTTCGGGAACGACTCGGTAGATGGCTCTAAGGATGGGACGACCTTACGCGTGCCGCAGCCGGCGCCGGACGCGGCGGCGGAGCGACAGCGGCTGGGGCTTCACGCCGGCCGCGCCATCTGGCCACGCTCGGCGGAGCGGGAGCACCACCGACGGACGACTACTTCCAGTCGGAGCACTAGCCGACCTCCAGTCTGTCTCGGAGAGGTCAGGGTGGGCGTGGGATCTCCGACGCGGGTGAGCGTGCGGATGTGAGACGGGCTTGATGGGTGGTTGGGCCGGTGGCTGCCTTACTGCTTATATAAGCTTGGCTCGCTCAGTGGGTGTGCTGGGTATTGCATTCCCCAGCAGCGTGGTTTGAGCAGCGTCCCAGTGCTCTTGGCAGTAACGTATGTGTATGATCTCTTTCAAGTCACACAGCCTGAGTCTAAAGGGGTATTGAGCTCGTTTGTACGTAGTGATCTTTGCGCAGCTTCCCACCGCGAGTCGAAAGCTGACTGATCCACTCATTCGAATCACGCACAACAACGGTCGGGTAATTTGCGGAGTTGTGTCTGTGGGCCACCCTGTGTAGAAATGAGAACAGCATGGAAGAATCCCCCCCCCCTCCCCCCACACACCATTGATGGTCTTCATGCATTCCCACCACAAATATGTGATGACGTACTGGCATGTCCCTAGCACGCTTTAACGAGCATATCAGATGCCCTTAGTGCACGTTGCAATGCTGCATGCCCCATGTGAGGCACCAGGGAGACGCGAGCCTTTTCGCATGCAATTTGCCGTCGCCAGACACCGAGAATCTGCCGTCGCCAGACGCCGAGAAATCGTCGATTGAAGATGAGCGTGTCGCGCGTTATTTTGTGTTTACGTCGGGGTTAGCGGTGTCATGCACGGGCGGTGTACCAAATGTCACGCACAAATTATGTTGGAATGTTTGTACCATCCAGTAGTGTATGTTAGAAGACATTTGTAAACTACCTTGAGCAGGCTGACCAATTTTTAGTTTTGTTAAACAGTACGTTATCTATATGCCTCGTAATGATGCGCCATGGGCTTTGAACGTTCCCTGTGTGGTGTGTTGATGCCGACGATGACGCTATTTTTATTGATCTTCGGCAAGGTGAACTTTGGTGTCACATGCTCCTCACACAGTTTAGGGGCATATGTTTAAACCAATTGAGTCAGCTGTGCGTGCTAAATAAGTGTGGGCATTTAACGACTGGATTTCATGTATCTTTTAAGCCGATGACGGAGGATCGCGTGTTGAGGACGCTGATGGTGGCCTCGAGGACGCCGACGGCAGATTCTCGGTGTATGCCAGTCTGTGCTGGCATAACCGATGTCGAAAAGTCACATAGTTTGTCGTTGTCACGTCAATTTCATTAAGCTCGCGCCGTATATCACTTTCACCACCGTGGGAAACAGATCGCTTGGCGGCCGGGCACGCTTTGATGCCACCCCCTCCCCTCCCCCTCACAGGACGTGTGCGGGCCGGATTAAGCGCATCTGGTGGTTGGTGCAGTGGCGTTTGATGTGTGTCAAGCAATACAATGTGGCTACGTTGACTGACACGTGTACGTTTCTCCGGCGTGGGGTGCCGCCACCAGTGAGATTCCCTCTCAAAAGGAAGACACGCCTTGCCTAAACAGCACCCACTCTTCTTCATTTGGAAAGTGAGTGAATCGAAGTTTCTTCCCAGTCCAAATCATTACTGAGCTCGGGCGCACTAACTCTGGTCGTGTATTGCTCTAGATCTGGTCCACACCACTGCATGTCGCTCTAGTTGCTGTGCTGAGTTGGGTGCCAGCGGGGAACGGAGGACGCCGTGGCCCAGCGACCGGTCTAACGCCCTCGACTCTCTAGGTCATGACTGACGTCACAGGACCGTGGCGGTTTTGTTGGGCAACTTTTTCATAATCTATGGTGTGTGAATTGACAGGTTCTTGCCCTTTAGATGCAATGCTTACATGATTCGTGATGGATCTATGCTACGTTTTAGTCATCCGCGTGGTGACAGTCTGAGTAGCACTGATGACACCCGTTGTCAGAAATTTCATGAATCAGCACATTGCAGAGAATGATAAAAATTCGGCTGGGAATGTTCGCTTCATGTAATGACCCACGTCTTCGGTGCAAACAGGTGCCAATTATTCACACTGCTGTCTCCACAGCAGTCGATGCGCCCCAAACCCCTCCCCCCATACTGGTGTCTCCAAATGAGCAATGCCAGCTTATCTGATATACGTCGTCGCTGTGAAGCAGCTGAATGGCCCAGTATATTTTACACACTAACTATCGTAGGCCGTCTCGCCCCCTTCGCTCTTTCGAAATACACCAAGGTATCTCCTGGAACCAGCAAGTGATATTGTTTTGCAAGAGTGATCGCCTGCATAACGACATTTCCAGTGTTCTGTGGTATTCCATTTTCCGGCTCTGAAACGAAAGATAACGATTAAATTCATGCAGGAAGCTAAAGCCGGGGAAGCGAAACTCAGCTTGTGCCACACAGCACCTCAAACGTGGCGTTCTGTCGTCAGTTTCTTAAAACAATGCACAAGACAGAACTTAACACTTCACAGCCAGCTGATTTGTTTGTTTCTAACGGCATCGAACAGTGATGCATTGAACGAAATGTTCCGTTATTGAAGATATCGAACCAAGTATCACATATGACAAAATCAGATAGATTATCACAACTGGTATGCTTTTAAGTGGAAAAGACTGGCTCTAATACCGTTTCTCTATTTAGCGAGTATGCTCCTCAATGCGTCATTGTTTGATTGTGTCATCGCACCTTACACGACACTGATTGAGAGCCAGTCGACAGCCGCTATATCTAGAAATCGTGCTTACGATCAACAGTTATGAGCGACTCGACAATTTTATTTTTCTTGGCCTTGATCACCGCATCGCCAGTGAAGTGGCCGGATTTGAATGACGTTGTGGCGTCATGGATGCCTGGGTGATCTTGAAAAGTGTGCACATCTTCCCGGGTGTGCAACTTAGAAACTAGATGGTTTTAGATCCTGAGAGGGCATGGCTTTGAACTGCACCGGATTAACTTCAAAAGACCTATTTCTGTTGAAAACCTCATCATACAAATGCGAAACACTCCCTTTAACAACAAACACAACCGGGGAATACGCCATGGCTTTCACAACGGGGAACATGGCACAGCTCAGGGATCTGTAATGACATGAACAAGGCGTATTGGGAACGATCATCCGGTGGCCAAACCTGACGTCACCAAACTCACATCCCCGTCACTGTTCCTCCTTATTCACAGATAATAGTCCAGATAACGTTCTGTTTCTGACCTTTCACCACGATGGGAACAAGAGCTCGGTGCAATCGACTCTGCCTGGCGACGAGCTCTGACCGGGTCACCACGAGCACGGGGCACGACGGCCGGAACCTGGTGGCATGAGGTCACCGACCTGTTACCGGGTCACCACGAGCACGGGGCACGGCGGCCGGAACCTGGTGGCATGAGGTCACCGACCTGTTACCGGGTCACCACGAGCACGGGGCACGGCGGCCGGAACCTGGTGGCATGAGGTCACCGACCTGTTACCGGGTCACCACGAGCACGGG